CCTAACCCCAGGGGTCCAAGTACCTAATTATCATATACTTACCCAAAAACCGTACTATAACTACTGTAACCCCAAACCCAAGTACCTGGTTATTGGGTATACACATGGGCCCTTTGGGTGAGCTGCTTCTGAACACCAGCCCTAAACTGTGGATGCAGTCTGGGGGATAGTATGACTTCGGCAGCCCGTGTGGCTGCTTGCCGAAAAGGAAAAGCAGGTGCGCGCAGCACATAACGCTCAGGGAAAACTGACCGCCACCGCACGTGGCGCAAGAGTGAAACAAACTAGACAATCTAAATGTTCGGCTGTCGGCGCAATTGGGAAGGGTCCTGGACGTACGGCCATTTTCTTACAATGGGGCATATGGCCGGTTTTGTTTCATAGTCCCAAGCTGGACACCAATTATATACACTCGCAAATTGTCCTAAAGAACCACAAATACAGTCACCAAAATGCATATATAGACCCCAATATACTATAGTCCTTATTATCCCTAAACCCTAAACCCTAAACCCGGACTCCGCAGGATGGTACCCTAATTTTGGGAAACACCCAAATACAATCACCAAAATGCATGTTCACACCTTCGTTTCACAAACCAGAGCTGTGCTTCGTCGGCTGCATGAAGTAGCTGGACAATCAAAGCGGAAGCCCTGAAAGAATAGAACTGCAATGGTTAGGGTTTGGGGTTCCAGTTACCTAGGTTTAGGGTTTAGGGTTCCAGTTCCCTAAACAATGGGTTCTAGGTTCTATATACCCTATTGTACATAGCCCAGTAGCCTACTATTTACTTAGCTGGGAGCCCTAAGTTAGGGTGAAAGGTTCTAGGGTGAAGTTGACTAAGGATCGTCCACCGCTCAAAACTATGGGCCCGTGGCTCTCACCGTAGGGAACATTCTGTTTTGGAGATCTTGCGACACCCTAAACACTAAGCCCTAAACCCTATAACCCTTATACACCCCTATATAACCCCTATAGAACCCATCTTTTGTAGTTCCCATGTTTTTTCCAGTTTGCACTTTTTTGGGGGTCCAAGTAATCCTGAAAACCTACACCTCGCCAGGGGTTCTTCTACACCTAGAGACCCCGAAGTACAGTCCCCCTTAAGTAGATAGAATATGGCTCTGGGTATATGATTATAAAAAGATTCCTATATACCCCATATTCTATCTACTTAAGGGGGACTATAAGTGTAACTTGTCAAGTTAAGGTGAAGGGTTTCGAGTCAACAGGATTAACCAGAATCACTTACTTAGAGCGGCGTGTTACATATAAGCCACTGGTAACTTACCCTAAACCCTAAACCTCAAACCTAAACCCTCAAACCTAAACCCTAAACGCTTTCACCTATCAAATTAGAAGCCTACTTAGGGACTTGGGGGTACTCAGGGGATGCTTACTTGGGTTTGTAAATACAGGTATAAGTAAGGTTTTATGGTTGAGGGTCACCATTTGATGAGATGAGCCGTGTCCCCAAATTTTGAAAAGCCTACAGAGGAGCCGTAGTATAAAACGATTCTCAACAATCCTATTGTGTTACAACACAATAGACCCTAAGTCCTGTTTTACCAATTTAGGGGGCGAAGGACTTACCTATCTCCTACGACTAATTGGTAGTTTCCCTAAGTGAGCGGGCGCCAATAAAGACCCCCAAAATGCCATAGTGCGCATTCAGGGCCCTGCAAAAAGCAACCCTCATTTTGGAAAACTCCCAAACAACTTTCCGAAAAAACTCCTGGCTGTTATCAGGCAGATTTAACCTTACAGCGTACCCCTATGCCAACCCTAAATCCAGAACCCTAAACATACCGCATACCCCTGCGCCTACCCTTGGCCTACGCTATGAATCCTCTGGCGAGTGTCACGCTAACATAGCAGTAGTAATAGTAGTTTAAGGGCTAGGGTTTAGGGTTTTAGGGGTTCTACCAGTAACAAGTAATAACAAACATGTTAATGTTGAAAATTACTAGTTGCAAGGCATATACGAATAGCAATAGTACTAGTAGTACGTAATAATACCCTAAAACCCAAACCCTAAACCCTAAACCCCAAACAATGAAGTTAATACTTACGAATTCAGAGGCGTTGATCCCTTAACACTGCCAAGTCCAGGAACCATCCCAGCCCTAAGGGTCCAAAGCTTAAGGCTTAGGGTTTAGGGTTCAGGGTTTATAGGGCTCAGGGTTTACCTAAACCCAAAAATTAACCCGCAACCCCTAAACATAGCCAGAACGCCCGTTATTCTACATACTTATGGGCTTCAGGTAGCGTTTATAGGGTTCAGGATCCCCAAAAGGCCAAGTGACGATTGCTAGTACGTGTATCCCCCAAAGACCTGTAATACACTCTCATGTTTGGGGTTAGCGTTTAGGGTTTAGGCCCTAAACCCTAAACCCTAAATCCTATGCTTGATAATTCCTTAGGATGCAACAATAACTATAACAGAATTATCGGAACAAAAATCGTAAGGAGATGGGAGGTATTAGAACTGCATGGTCTATTGGTCCCTTAGGGCAGTTGTGGAATTGACCCTGGCAGCCTGGTTTCAGGACAGCCCGGTCGTTTGTGGCTCTCTGCTGACCTTTTTTTTTGTTTGAATTCACCTTTGTGTATCGGACGCCCTTAAAAATCTAAGAAGCCTAACCAAGGGGGAACCTTGGGTGAGAGAATGGAGGGAATGGTCAAGGGAAACCATAAGTTGAAGGATAACAGTTTAGTGTTTGGCAAAAGGGTCTCATACAACAGTCAGGTGCAACAAACTGGTTCCTATATTCTAACGGGATCCCTGTAGCTTTTCTAGATTCATGTTTCAAGTGAGTATTGCAAATCGATGCATTGCATATAACCCTATAGCCCTTTTGGGTCCCGAAAGGGTCCAACCCCTTCTTGAGCAATGCCCATAAAGACATCCGGGCATGTGGGTCCCGCAGTGGAAGTAGAATGCAGGGCTAGGATTTCGCATTCGGCGCATAGGATTCAATGCTGAGGGTGCTGATGAAGGTTGAAGGTTCAGGCCTTTGGGTCTGCCAGGCCCTGAATCCTAAAGGAGGGTTCGGGGTTGGAGGCTTGCTCTTGCACTCTTGAATTTTCACACAGTTTAGGGTCTAGGTTTAGAATTTAGGGTTTCGAGTTGAAGTTCAAAGGTTTGAAGCGTAAGGAGTGTGTGCTCTGTGCTACTTGGAATCGTCGTGAACGTCCTTTGCAGCCAAGATCCTAGCTCTGTAGGAGCTCAGAAGAAGGTGTTTGAGGGGGGTGGAGTGCTTTGTATTACAGTTTCTGGAAGGACTGCGCAAAATCACGTTTGATATTCTGAAGGCTTCCCTACATTAACATTGCAGTCTCGACTGTCAGAAACTAAGCCCTAAACTTTCTCTAGCTCTACATCGCTAAACTCTAAACTCCCACCAAAAAACCCGACCCCGTAGAAGAAGCACGTCTTGCCGTTTAGGCCAGTAGAAACCGGTGGGAGGGAAGGCTTCCTTCAGAATTCCTTACCTCACAATACGGTGTAGAGTTCAGGGGCTTTAGGGTTTAGGGGGCACAGGGTTGAGGGTTTAGGCGTCGGGTTTAGCGTTTTAGGGGTTAGTGCTTTAGGGGTTTGAAGATTTAGGGCTTCAGGGTTTAGACTTGGGCATAGACCCGAAAGCCCTCTGACGAAGCGGTCAATACTCCCAAAGCCTGAAACATAACGTCTTGGGGCTATATTGCCATTATTCAAGCTGAGGTCGGATGCCATAATAACATCCAATAACGAGATTTTGGTAACCCAACCCCCAAAATTAGGCCAAACTTAGGACCCTATAGCCAGCATATGATAGTCATAGGGTCCTTGTTTGGGAGTTTGGGGTTACCACTTACTCAAATCTCAAGTCATGAGCTCTAAGCCCCAAACCTTAGGCAGAGAACACACTGCGGCAACTTGTAAAATTACTCGGGCGGGTAGTCGTCAAACTCAAGGGCCCTCTTTGGGAACCTGCAAGCTCGTGTAGCACACCAGAGCTATATACGGTAAAGAAGGGGCAGTAGATTGGTGATTGTTCAGGCGTCTACATTTCAAAACACCGCTCTTCCATTAACCCTAAACCCTGAACTCTAA